ATCATAAACCATTCCATGTCAAAGCAAAGCAAAGCAAATCAAAAAAAGAAAAAAAAAAAAAAAAAAATTCACTTATCCCAGCATGGTCTTCCCATGCTGCTGATATCCATAACCCTCGGGCTGAAGATGCTTCATGTATACTTTTTTTTTTTGCAAAATACATTACATACAGGATGGAAGAAAGCAAATGAGAAGATGGCATTTTTTACATGACGATACAATCCAGCCGATCGCGTTCCACTATCCGTTGAATACTCTTCCAATCTGAGCGCATCTCTGCAAATTCAAAAACGTCCTCGACTCTGAGGATGCCTCCGAACCGTTCCATGTCATGAATCAACTGCTTCAGATCCGAGGGTGATTGGATAATAAACAGGTTACCGAGCTCCTTGAGCGCCAGGAAATTGGGCGTCAACATGGGTTGCTTCAACGACGCAATGAAATTATAGTAGTGATTTAGATCACAAATCAACACGAACCCTCCTTCTGGAGACACCACATTCGATCGCAGGTGCTTTGTAAGACAGCTATTCAAAGAACGCATGTAGGAAAACGGCAACTACTGCGGTTAGTTTTTGTCAATTGCAAGAAGGGAAAAAAAAAAAAAAAAAAAAAAATGAGGGAATCCAAACACCAGCCAGAGTGGATCAGCGACTTACTTGAAGAGACGAAGTCCGAGCTCTTGCAAGAATACGTCCAGGGTATGTTTGTCTGTGCAACCGACCAGCATCTTGGTGTGTGTTGTCAAACACGTTACTGCCTCACGACATGCCTATGAGATCCCCAAAAAACGAACAGCACGCAAGGGTTAAATATTTTGTCCTGATCCACTTCTACCGTTGACGAACTCCTTTCGCCTTCTCTTTCTCTTTCTCTCACTCTCTCCCGCAAACCTCCAGATAGCTTACATGGGTCGCCTGCAGTTCAATATTTGTGTTTTCATCAGGATTATAATCCGTGGGCAACTGCATGGTCGACAGAATGTACTCGACTTGTCCAATCAAGACTTCGATACTCTTGTCCAAGCCTGCAGCGACACCATCGTCAATCATCCGTTCAAACGCCTTCTTCTCCTTGTTGGCTTCGTTCAAGAAATCCATCTTGTCAATATGTTTACACATTTCTTCCGCATAATACACTTGGACCATTTGCAGAATTAGATCAGCAACGTGGACCAGCTCAAAGAAATCCATCAAGGGCGTCACGCCTCCACCATGGGTGGTCGTGGGTTTATACCGGCCTAGTTGTTGGATGGCACTGCAAGAGGATAGAGTAAAGAGGGGCGGTGGGTGACATGAGTGATCGACTACTACGACAGTGACAAGGATAATATTCTAAACATGTGCCATGAACTTACGCTGAAAACCCTGGCTTGATGTGCTGTTGACCCATTGACCTCAAGAGTGCAATGAACACGGACTCAATGGTCTTTTGTCTATTTCATAATCCATTATGAGGAGGGAGAAAATTAGTCGTGTAAACTTCTTTTTCCTGACGCACAGAGCGCTAGAATTGTAACAGCCTCAACAACTACACAAAAAAGACTTACACCCGACCGCCAAGGACGCCACCCAGCCTTGCAAATGCCGCCAGACGCTGCAACGCGTCCTTGTCCAGATGGATCAGATGTAGAGCCAGCTCCACACTCAAAAGCGAGTTCATCTCTTCTTGGACTTCCTGTGCAGACACGACTTGCTGATGGTGATGATGTTGCTGTTCAACACCGCCCGGTGCGCTCCTGACACTATCCGCGTCGCTCGCCAAAGAGATTGACTTCCGATCTGGGATAAATGTCGAGGATGAGACTGTTGTTGGAGTATCCGGAGCAGAGGCTGGGGAGGACGGTGGCGGGACAGCGGTGGATCCAGAGGTGCTGGATCCTGTAATTGAAGTAATGGATCGAATCGAAAACCGATTGCTATTCCTTTTAGGATTTGTGGTGGTAGTGGTGCTTGATGTTACTGCTGCTGTTGATGCTAGGGGGGAAGAGGCGCTATTAGGTAAGGATACTGTGGAGGCAGACATTGGAAGTTGAGATATTGTTGGCGTAGGGCCTGCGGTGGATGCGGGTGAGGAGGATGTAGACGAGGTGACACCTGCAACAATTGATGATGAGATCTTGTAAGGTAATGTCAATACGTTTCTGAAGCCCTTCAGGAAATTGCGCTTAAAGACCTCGCGGTTCCGAGGATTCATCCGCTTTGCATCACTATTGTTGTTGTCGCGCTAATGTTATCGTGTTCACAAGAAAAGGATATGGCAAGTTAGCAGCTTATTGACCGTCATGTTGCCGCCATGAATAATTTGATCCGCAAACGTTTTTGTTTTTTTATCATGTCGCCTTACCTGTCGCTCATATTTGTCGATCTGATCCTTGCACGACTTTTGTACCCATTGTAGCTCCATCTTCAAATATTGCTCCAGCCAAGGAGCAAAGACCCTCGCCAAAAGTTTCTCAAGTCGGTAGGAAGGTACATGGATAGGTTCCATCTTGACTAACAGGTTCTCCAGATGCTCCAGATACCGATACGCCGTCGGAACAGATTTGAGGTAAAGAAGCTTGTCTCGCATGCTGCACATGTCAAATAGTTGCGAACAGTACTCGGAGATCACGTCCTCAAACACGCGCTCTGTAAAATTGAATAGCACATCTGCTTCCTCTGGAAATACGTCGTGGATGATGACCGCCTGCTTCTTGAACTCCATTTCTGTATACTCCATGAAAAGACGCATCGGTGTAAACTCTGGGAAGACAGAGTTCTCGCGCTCAACAAGTGGCTGCGACAACCATATTTCATATTGCCTATGAGGAAAAAAAGGCACGAATACGGAACATCATTTAGTTTGAAAGTCATTGCCATCGTCGCAAGTTGTTGCTGTCACGGCCATTCTTTTTTTTTTTTTTTTTTTTTTTGCGCGTATTGACTCCAAAGCGAGATCCTATTTGAAAATACCTCAGATTCTCTCCTGGCTCGTAGTTATTATCGAAAAAGATGCCATTTTTTTGGATAAAGATCTGAATACACGCTTGCGCACCGTTGAGGTCCAAGAGCACTCCTGCAAATTTCTATTCGATTGAAGGGATAGATGAAGGGAGAAGGGGAAGAAGTATGAGCGACACTCGATACGAAATGGAAAAACAAGTCCTCGCAACTAGACCTTTCAATAAGATCAGTACCGGAACTTACCGCCATCTCGGATAAGTCCCTTGAGTCATACGCGACCTCAAACAGATGCAGACATCGGTTCTCAAAGTATTCGCAAGTTCCGTGCAGATTTTCATTGATCTAATGAATGTGGCCCACACGGTATGTTTGTCCCCGCACATGCGATATAACATTAGTGTACAGCCCCATTGTCAAAAGCAGATCGCTCCATACCTCTCGATGTGCGCACATTACATAACAACAAGTAAGACATAAAGCTCTCCAGCCATTTTACCTGATCCGAATCTTCAGCCAAATGAGCCTTTGAGAATGCCAAGAGTTTCGCCAGCATTCTAGCTACATCCAAGACCGATTTGCCAAACTCTTGGATCACCTTACTGTCCTTATTGGCATGCCGAAAGTCCACATAGTACGGCCAGAGCTCACTGTAGATTTTTCGAAACTGCTCCCTTGCACCATGATTCATCCTCTTGCTCTGGATCATTGAATAAGGATCTCCAGGTAGTCCTGGGATTTGAAGACGAGGCTTCGTAGTCGTTGGTGTGGATAGCTCTGAGCTTGATCTGTTGCCACCATCACCGAGACCATCCTCCGACAGGTTAGAAAGGCTAATCCTGCCATCCATGTTGTTGCTAGTGGACTTGATGGCCTCTGCAGTGTTGGCTGATATCCGCTTTCGAGTCGTTTCCGAGATGTTGGATCCTTGGACAGGAAACCTAGGCAAGGAGGCGATGGGTCCGTCTAGCAAACACGCAGTATTACTATGGCTGTCTGAGTCCCTATTTCCTGCTCTAAAGCCAAACCCCATGGCCAGAAGCTTGGACTCCCAGAGCTCATCACTGTAGACGATGACCTTGAGACGTCTGCACGCTTGCGCAACTGCTGGCAAAGATGAGATGGGCAGGTACTGCAGACATTTGAGCAACAGATCTGGCGGGAGGACTGGGATGGAGGTGAAGATTAGGTCGGTGGATGTCCTGCCTTCAAAGTCGTCGACATCGAAGACGAGTTCCATGAGGGCGCTGTCCTGGGCTGAGCGCGGTGGAAGGGAGAGGAAGAAGAGGGAGGCGGGGGCCTATGCAGACGTGCTCAAGGACGTCTCGCGTTGTCGTGTCTTTGTTTTCCTTTGTGTCCAGGCGCTCGGTGGGCGAGAAAAAAGAGAGGAAGCCTGAAAAGAGGGATGAAGCAGTGTCGCCAGAAAAGAGCATGCACAGATGGCTCCACGCGTGCGTTTTGTGAGGATGAATGCTACTGTGTTGTGTGGGACAGACTAGGAAGGGAAACCCCCTTGCGTCTTTCTTTGTGCTGCTGCTGCCGTCGAAAGGACAAAGGACAAGAGAAAGGGAGAAGAGACAAATGGAACGGCACGAGAGGGCAGGCGACAGGCCCATGGGTCGGGTCATGAGCGACAGGATGGAAGCAGCAAACCTGGGGCGATCACTCGGGCCCAACCTGTGCTCCCTCGTTCTTGTTCGTTCCACCAACACATCGTTCCTCGGATCCTGTTCCTTTGTTTTCTCGTCGACTGGCCAGCTTCCTCCCCTCCCCCCTTGCTGCTCCTCTCTCTTTCATTGTCCTTCACCTGAATGGCACTCCATCCTTGGCAGCACCTTGGGAAACTAGACCCAAGTTACTAAAAGACCTGTATGTCAAGCAGGAAAAAATCCCTCTTAACACCACCCTCTACCATCCCCAACAACGCATTGAGATACTCAGTCAGACACATCAATCCCAACATCACAATCATCAGCTCTACCTAAAAGCAAAAAAGAAGTTGCATCATCATCTCTTCGGCGCTTCCATCTATCCACCCCATCCCATGAAGCAAAAGTTAGACCGTGCCGAGGGTCGAACTCGGGTTACAGGATTCAAAGTCCTGGGTACTGGACCACTATACTACACAGTCCCAGTAGGAACAGCATGATTGGCCAAGTTCCACTTTCAACCATGCTTTTACAGTTATATTTATTGCTGTCGTTGAAGTTTAGCTGCTATGTGCTGGTAACTTGCTGTGAAGCTTTTCTGGCGCCTTTTCCCACGTTCTGAGGCTACACCCTGACGAGGGGTGGCAACCCCACCTGACACACCGGAAAACTCTTCTCCGATCATCGAAATCGGACGCTACATTACACAACCCTTCCCTTACCCCCCCTTCCCCTA